AAAAAGAAATGATCTTATTGATTGGTTAGAGACTGGTGGAAGCCCTGGGACTGTAGCACTTAGTTAGCCTTTAGGTCTGGAGGTAAATTCACTCCCATGGCTCTGTTGTTGCTGAGTGGCACAGAGTCGGTTCTGACTCATAGCAACCCTGTATAGGAGTGGCTGATAGATTTGAACAGCCAAACTTTCAGTTAGCAGTCCAGTGCTTATCCTGCAGTTCCACACAAACCAAACAAACAGACAAGGGGAACAGTAACACTAGTGAGGTTCACACACCTTAGTATAATCAGGCCTTGGAGACAAAGGGGCAATATTTACCCTGGACAAAGTTCAGAAAAGTTAGGAAAAGAGGAGGCACGGAAATAGGGAGAAAGTGGTATAAATGATATTACATTGTGAGGGGATTGTAATTAGTGAGTTGATGTAAAATGTGTATGAATTGTTGAGTGGAAAACTAATTTTCTCTGTAAATCTTCCACCAACTTCACCCAAGATCGAGAGAGAGAGAAAAAAAATGTATAGTCCTAGATGGAGGATATGTCAAGAAACATTAGCCTCACATTTTGGTATTTTTGTTTAATACAGATCCTAGATAGATAGGGAGAAAATGTAAGACAAAACTCAAAATCATTTTTTAAAAAAAGGCTATTGATTGGCTAGAGACTGGTAGAATCCTGAGACTAGAACTTATAGTTCTCTTTTAGGGTTCAAAGTGAATTCACCCCCATGGCTCAATTTCCAGCCAAACATATTATGATTTGTAACAAAAAGAAAAAGAAACAACTATCCCAAGATTGTGACAAATAGGTTTAATTCAGTTCTTCCTTAACAAAGATGCCCTGAGTGCTCCATTCATCTGATTCTAGGTTTTCTTCCCTCCTGACTTACAGTAAGCCATCTCTACCAGGGCTGACCTTCCATCCAGCAGAGATTGCAAATTGATGGGAATCTGGTGTTCTCTTACCACCTTTTCTCTGGAAACCTATAAACAAAAATTAAGTGAACACTTAATGCCTTCATTTTTTCTAATTAAATACTAGTAAGTTGTATATATATA